TAAGTAATGAGAAAAATGGCAGTTTGGAGTTAATTCATAAAAATAGAGGTGTCAGTAGAACAGAATAGATAGGGGATGCCTGGGTGGCTCAGTCAGTTAAGCATCTGCCTTCTGTTCAGGTCATGATCCCGGGGTCCTTGGATGGAGCTCTGCAGCTGGCTCCCTGCTCAGTGGGGAGTCTGCTTCTCCCTCTGCCCACCCCTCCTGGTGCTCTCTCTCTCTTTCTTGCTCTCTCTCTCAAATAAAGAAATAAAATATTTAAAAATTATTTAATTAATTAATTAAAAATAAATTTAAAAAAATAACAGGATAGCTCAGAAAAAGGCATTAGCAAAAGAATTTGGTTTATAATAAAAGTGACGTTATCAATCAGTGTAGAAAGAAAGTATTAATTAATGATTTGCCGGCTATAATAAATAGTCTGGCTCCCTATTTTATAAAAGAGAAACAGATCCTCACTAAATAATGCATGCAAAAATAATACCCATGTATGTTAGAATTAAATTATGCATACCCTGTGTTGACCACTGCTGTAGGTGCTTTCCATAAACAAAGTACTTTGGTCCTCAAACAAGCCTATGAGGTAGGAATGATTATTTTACTCCCACAAAAAGAAAAGATAGAGGTTAAGTAACATTGTCCAAGGTCACACAACTTGTAAGTGTTCCAACAGCCATCTCAGACTCAACATATCCACAAGCAAATTCCTAGTCCTCCCCTTAAAAACATATCCTATCCTCTATCATCTCTTGGTCAGAACATTATTTACTCAGAGTCATCTAGTTACCCAAGCCAAAAATCTCATGGCCATCCTTAACTCTTCTTACATCCTACACTGTGGAAAATTCTGCCGGATTTAAGTTGGTCCACGCCATATTTCCTGGTTTGTTTTGTTGACCTAAGTGGTCTCCTTGCCTTCACCCTTGCTTTGCCACAGTCTATTCTCAATGAAGCAACCAGAATAATCATTTTTTTAAGATTTTATTTATTTATTTGACAGAGAGAGAGACAGTGAGAGAGGGAACACAAGCAGGGGGAGTGGGAGAGGGAGAAGCAGGCCCCCTGCCAAGCAGGGAGCCCGATGCGGGGCTCAATCCCAGGACCCTGGGACCATGACCTGAGCCGAAGGCAGACGCTTAACGACTGAGCCACCCAGGTGCCCCTAGAATAATCATTTAAAACATAAATCAGATCAGATTATTGCTCTACCTGGAACTGCTCCTCCAATTAATCCTCATGCCCATAACTTAACCTTCAGGTCTTTGCCCAAATGCCTCCATATTACTGAAAGTATCCTGACAACTTGTCTAAAATTGCAACCCACAACACCTTGCTGTCTGCTCCCACTAGCACTTCTAATCTCCATACCCTGTCCTTTGAATCACACTTGAATATTGCATATAATTTACTTATTTAATATGTTTACTATGTTTGGTTTGTCTTCCCTAAACTATAAGTTATACAAGGACAGGATCTCATCTGTTTCGTTCATAGATGTATACTAAGCACCTAGCACAGTGCTTCACACTTAATATAGACTCCATAAATGTTTGTTGAATGAATGTTAAGACTGGGATTTCAAACATAGGTAGCATGACCCTATGGAGTTCATAAAATTAATAACTAAGCAGTTCTATAAGAAATGAAATTATTAAAACAAATGCTCAAGAAATTGGTGAACATAAGAGGGGAAAAGGCTCTAGTAATATTAAAGTACTAAAATAAGCTATTCAGGGAAAATGTGAAAGTTTAAAGTATGTGAGAATTAGACCTTTTTTAAAACTAATAACATTACCCAACATTTTAACAATACATAAAAAACAAGCAATATCCACCATAAATGTAAGTAATTAATGCTCTTATTGTATTAAGACCTATTACAAATCAAATGGGGAAATAGCACTAAAACCCCTATAAATATTGGAAAAGTATATAAACTCACAAGAAAAGAAACAAATAGCAAAGCATAAAAAAGTATGTAAAGGTCATTTTTTTTTTTAAGATTTTATTTACTTGAGAGAGAGAGAGAGCATGAGAGGAGGGGAGGGTAGAGGGAGAAGCAGGCTCCCCACTGAACAAGGAGCCCGATGCTGGACCCGATCCCGGGACTCCAGGATCATGACCTGAGCCGAAGTCGCTTAACCAACTGAGCCACCCAGGTGCCCCAAGGTCGTATTTTTAAATAATACAACCCATTACATTGAGATGCCATTCTTCAAAAATAGCGAGTTGACAAAAATATAGAAGGAAACGAGGGAAAAGAAGATTATGTATGCCCCGTTTAATGAGGGCTCCATAAAACCTATGTAATATGCATCATGGACTTTAAAATATTCCTGCATTTTGGTGTAGTGGTTCTATTTCTAAGAATCTATTCTGAGGACAAAATCCGATTGTACAGACAAGTCTTTCAACGAAGTCTTACACTAGGGAATAATACTATAAAAACAAACCACATTTGCAAGACTTGAGAATACTTAAGTATTTCATAGAAATGTATAGTGAATTATTAAAATAAATGTTTAAAAAGAAAACCTAGTAACTTAGAAAATATTAACATTTTTTAGGGACGCCTGGGTGGCTCAGTCGGTTGGGCGTCTGCCTTCAGCTCAGGTCATGATCCCAGTGGCCTGGGATCGAGTCCCGCATCGGGCTCCTTGCTCAGCAGGGAGCCTGCTTCTCCCTCTGCCTGTAGCTCCCCCTGCTTGTACCCTTGCTCACTCTCTGTCTCGCCCATGCTCTCTCTCTCTCTCTCTCTCTCTCTCTCTAACAAATAAATAAAATCTTTAAAAAAAAAAAAAAGAAAGAATATTAACACTTTTTAAAAGGCAGGTAAAAAGCTGTGTGGATAGCATGATCCATGTGGATTAGATCGAAGCCTAGTTACAACTGATGGCAAAAGAGGGGGTGGGAAAACTTGGAGCAGGAACCGCTATCTATCTACAAGGCAAGTTGAGCGACCTCAAGCCCTTTAGCGAGGGTTTTTGGGTAAAGCCTTGTGCAGGATAAGGAAAAGTCCCGGTGGTACAGATAGAAGGCAGGTCCCATGGGCTTCAAAGACAATGCTCACCTTTTCCCCAAATTTGCCTAAAAAAAAGCCATTGTCATGTATCTGATGATAGCATACATTATATACAGATATACAGAGTATTACCACCACATAAAATAATGACCGTGATACATGTACAGAACAACCATTTTCCAAATACCTGTCTGTGATTGCCTCCAAGTCTGAGATACAGCTGCTTTGGAAGAAAGTGCTTCACACACTACATATCAGCTCCTAAGTGGAAGTATCATTTCAGAAATTAAGTTGAAAGTTGAGTTCCTAATACAATTGGAATTCCAGCTCCACAATATATTTAAGCAGAGAACTGTTTTACTGCTATTATGTCTAGGGTCACTTGTCTCTTGCTAACTTCAAAACAAGAGTGCTTTCTTGTTTTTCTAACTAAGGTACTAAAAAGAAATTCCCAGTAAATATATAACATTTTCTCATAAATTTCTTTGGCGTCAATGAATTGCATTTTCAGTAAATTGCTTTTGCAGGATTATGGAATGATGCCAAATTTGTATTTTCCAAAATGTAAACAAAAACCACAAGCAAACCTTCCTCCTTCTATTCCTGATGACTGTGGTATAGAGTTCACTGTGTTGTTTAAAAAGATTTCAAATAATTTTCCTGTAATTGCTAATCATTTTAATAGGTGGCATGAGGTTAGCAATCAATAATCACCTGAAACTGTTGAAAACAGGCTCCAGGATCAATAGAACATTCTTCTTCCCATGGAAACACAGCTCACTCAGATGGCTGTCCTCACTGTTCCTTTCCGTTTTGTATTTATTGTAGATTCACAGGCACATTTCTTATGGAAAAAACAACTTAAGGAAATAGACAAAATGTCTCTCACCAACATCATGACAGAGATGGAATTTTGTTACAGAAAATATATCCTTAGAGAGATAGGAGGAGGTATACAATTTGGTACAGATGCTAAGATTGCAAAGTAAAGTTCTTAATTTCTAATCAATAGCTATGTGTTGTCACTGGTCCACTTTTTTTAAATGTATTTTAAAATATAAAGACATATATTTATCTCAGTAAGTGTAATTCTACTAGGGGTTTATTTTTAAAGACACACTGAAACGGAATATGCAAAATTTTGTTTATCTGACTGAGACAAAAGATTACATCATAATTGTTAGCTTCGTTTTTCTTTTCTTAGGCACTAAAACATTTCAGTTATTGATGATGAACAGGAAGATGAATTATTTCCTGAAAAAATATTAAAAAAATTACAGTTGTATTGCATAAAACAGATTTTCATATATATCCCCCTTTGTTAAATAGAAAGCAGACTTGTGTTTATTATAAAGTTCATTACCATGTCTACAGATAGATGTGTTCTTGCATATTTTATAAAATATGGCTTCATCATTTAACATTAAGAAAACTAAACAAAACATTTAAAGATGTTAATGTATTTTTGTGGTTAGGAGTAAAAAGAGATTCAGGAAAGAAGGGACTTCTTTTGTTGTTCTTGCCTTTGTTTTCTGGAGAGCTATTCTAGGAACCAGTTCAGTATTTTGGAGGGGATGATCTAGAGGTAGTGCTCCTAAGAATTTAGAACCCGTGTCAAGGCTGAGCTTGAGATAAACACAGGAGATGAGCAGTAAACTAGAGAGAAAGAGAAATTTAGAAATAAGAAAAGTGATTTAAAAGAAAAAAAGCAGCATGCACATCACACAAGTGGGTGAACTCTAGTGATATTCTCTTTACTCATGTAAATATTCCCCCCCCCCAAAAAAAAAACTCAACTCAGGTGAACTAAAGAGGAAAGGAAAAAAAAAATGGAAAAAAAAAAAAACCCAAGAAGGAAATTTAATTTTGCGCTTTGGAGTCTGCGTGTGAGTGCCGGCTCGCCGCCTACTCTTGGCTCCCTTGGGGAATATTCCTTGGGAAGAAACTGGTGCTCCTCTCAGTCCGCTCCGCGCTGATTCCCAGAAGGTGTAACATCGCGTGGCTGGGACGGGAAGAAAGGGTTGCCACTCATCTGTTGCACAGCCCGAAGCTAGAGCAGGCAACTGTTGAGCCGCCGACGGCGACCCACAGCTCACCCCGGGGCTTTCGGAAAATAAAGGAAATCAAGTAGAAACCGCAGGTCTCAAGCGGATAATCCTTAGCCAAGATTCCGCATGGACGCCACTCTTTATTTTACAAATGGACTCTCAAGTCATGGGGCCGTGACCAACCAAGGCTCCGTGAGTCACAAGCTGGGAACCACCACGTCGCATTTACAGCAAGTAAGTTACTGCCAACTTTACCAATATATGGTATTTGCTCTCAGCACTTTAGCCTTATTTTAGTGTGTGAACTCCAAAGAGATTGGCCAAGAGGTAACTTTTATCCTGAAATCTCAGTACGCTGATGCGAGCATCACACACACGCACGCGCGCGCGCGCGCACACACACACTCACACACACTCCTTCCCCACGTGAAGACACCGAACCTCGCGCTCCTAGGCTGGTGCGTGTTTGGGGTTTTATTTAATATTTGGAAACTTACTGAGTTCCTATGCTTGTTGGAAAGACCGAACTGGGTGGGGGTGGATGGAACACCGTGCCTCATCATTTATTCATTGCGACTGTCTCAATTGTTGACACTAGTGGCAAGCCGCGTACTCCGGCTCTTGCAGGGGAAGTCTGACACCTTGAGGACGGGAGAGGGGGTGCCGGGAGCCCGGAGGAGCCGGAGTGGGAGAAGCTTTTGAGAGTTCTCGGGTGGTGGGTGGGAGTGGGGGTTACTTTTTTCAAGTCGGGCGACCTGCCGCCTGGGTGCTTGTTGACTGGTTTGGGAGCGGAACGTTCAGAAGACGGGTCCTGGCGCGAACTGAAGTCTGACATCTCTGCAGAGCCCGCCCAAAGATTGGAGGTGTGTCTGGCCGGCACCCAGGACCACACGGTGGGTTCTGGCCACTGACTTGGCTGGCCGACGGCTGGCTTGTGGTGAGCCCTCCTGCCCAACTGGCTGACCTCAAGGAGTTGGCCCAGGGAGGCGGCGGCTGTTTGGGGGCAGCGGAGCCGGGAAGCCAGCGTCAGCGCCCGCCCGCGCGCGGGTCCCCTCCGCGGCCACGCAGAGCAGGGCGTGGGACGCGCATCTTCACCGGCCGTCCCTACCCAGCAGGGTCTGTGTGGACCCTGAGTCAGGCAGCCGCCCGGGACGGAGGGCGGGGTATCTTCCTCTGGGCACATCCGCTGTCAGCCGTGGGAACGCTAACTTTATCCCAAGGGATCGGTGGGGGCGGGGGTGGGCGAAGTTCTCCTCCCCGGGAGCTCACCTCCCTCTCCGGGGCTGCCCCTCCCCCGCCTCCCATGGCACCGCTCTCAGAGCATCCTCACTCCGCCCAGTTCGGTGCCAGCTGCGTGGGCTCTAGCTTCGTGCGTTTTCTTTGGAATGCTCCAAAACTCGGCAGCGACTAAGGAAATCCCATTGGAATTTGCCGGGCGTGCTCTCACCGGGCATAGCACTCGCGCCGCATGTCCTTGGATCGATCGCTCTTCAGCCAGAAGATTGCCAACTTTGCAGGTAAAGAGGGTGTCGCCTCAGAGCTCCGTTTGACCGGAGCTGCACCTCGCCTCCTTTCTGGGATTTCGGTTAAGTTTCTCAAGCTGCCTGGGAAGCCGGCTCCCTCTTGGGAGGCGGACGTCCCTGCGGGTTTACGAGTTCAAAAGGCTCCGGCTGCATGGTTTCTCTTTAAGGCTCCAGACCGGATTTGTGAAGCTTTCTGTGGTTGACCTGGGCTGAGCGGGAGTTTGGGGATGCTTCTCAGCCTCTCACTGCACCCGGCTTTAAAGCAGGGGAGAAGGCGAGGAGTGAACCCCTGATGTGACTTATATGGTAAACAAAGCAGCTGCAGCCACGCCATGGTGCTGGGGAGGAAGGCTGTTTTTAGCCTTTTATGCATTCGGGGAAAATGGAGATCTTGGTGGCCCCTGGGCGTATATGAGTGAGCCCTAGACTCGCTGGCTCCTAAACTGGGGGAATGAAGAAAGGAAAGTGATCAATGTCCTGTCGATCAATTACACTCTGCGTCATTTTCATTCTCTATCAAGAAACAGAAACACTTTTATCCGTGTTGCTGGACCAACGCTAGGGATTCCTAGTTCGCTTGGCAACTGAAATTCCAATTAAGCCAATAGACCCTGTTTGCTACTTGGGTAAATCACTGAGATTCACAGCACAACTTGTTGTTCCAGCTGTGAACTCATCTGCCTTTTGTGACTAGAGACTAGAGAACACTGGCAAGGGATGGAGGATTCGGGGGAGACTGAAAAAAGGGAGCTCTTATCTTGTCTGTATTCACTATGTTGGGTGCTCTATGATGCATCCTTGTTCACATGGTTTCTTAGGGAGACCCTTCCCAGTTAAATTCCACAGCTATAAAGTGCAGCAGGTTGCTCACTGCTCACTGAGTAAGCACCAAGCCAGAGGAGTGGGAGGAGGCAGAAGCAAGGCTTACTTGTTTTATTAAAAAATAAATTTAGAATAGACTTGTAAAACTGAAAAAAAATCTTTCAGGTTTCATATAATTTCTGGTTTTTCGATCATAATAATCACAACAGAACATATTACAAATTCTTTAAGGAAATATGGTCAACTAAAGGTTTTTTTTTTTTTTAAATAAAACTGAATTAGACAATGAGAGTAAGAAAGTGTGTGGATATGTTACAACATTGAAATCGTCATCTCTGTGTTAAGGTTTGCTATTTAAACTGACATTTGTAATACCTACTTCTATTCACCCTGACAGCATACCAGGAAACATTTCCCCTCAAGTATTTATGGCAAAAAATCAAGATACAGGAATAACTAGTACTTCAGATATTAGAATCAAAATTCAGGAAAGACATTGTTAAAGAAGCATTTTAGAAACTGTATTTATGAATTAATGCAGTTAAGGCAAATCAGCACATCAGTAGAAGTTAAATGGGTTTTATCAAAGTACTTTATGCAAATGTCTTGTATTAATAAAAGTTAGTGCAGGTAGAAAGAAAGAAAGCACTTACATTGCTTATGAATAAGAAACCATAGAGCTGGAGAGCCTTTCAATAAAGCTCTGATCAGAGCTCAGCAATTCTGCAAACTTGCTGTTGTGGAGTGAAGAGCTGAAAAATTTATGCCAAGAAAATTACCCTCCAAAAGAAACACAGACTGGTTAATGAGACTGATACACAAGAGGTGCTTAATATTCAAGTGAATAAATATAATGAATATACTGTTAGATCAATAGATAGTTCAAATAAGGCATGGTGAGAAGACGTGTGACTGCAAATTTAGAAAAGTTTTTCCTCTTAAGAACTTAAAGAAACACAAGCATTCATCAAAGCAGAAAGTATTTATTAGAGCTCAACAGATAGAAGAAATGTCTCTTTAGTAAAACCTTTCGAATATTGACAATGTTTCTAAAACTCTCTGATTTTGGAAAATAAGCTGTTTTCCATTAACTTGCTTAATGGTCGTTCTGAAAGATTTATAAAAGGTAAAATAGATTTCCATTATTTATAAGCTATAAAATTTTGTAATTTTTATGTTGTTTATTTTTCTGTTGCAGTTATTCCCAGAAGGTCAAGATTAAAATGCACAGAAAAAAAAAAAAACTATGAGAAAATTAAAGTTCTCTGTGAATTTTATGGCCACTTTGACTGTTGAAGTAGTAAGAGACCAAATAACTTTCCATGTAAGATAACCTTAACTAACTCATACTTTACATAAATAAGAAATATCTGAAACATTGCTTTTATTCTTTTCTGATTAGGAGAAATTCAAATATCTTGTATATCTTGTTCAGCACACACATTTTAAACTTTTAAACTTAAAGCCTGTCATAAGCACGATGAATTTCTGTTGAAGTATAATAATAATAGCCTTTAGGGTATGCTGACTAACCCCACTGAATTAAAAAAAATATTTTTATAAGTATATTGTTGAGAATATTGGCATGTTTTTATAACTGTATGTTTAGTTGCCAGGATAATTTATGGCAGTTCAGATTATCAACATTACACTTAACAGCTAAGAGCTGAAATAATCTATCTTTTCTAATTACTTCATATATAGTAACACAAATAAAGATATACACGCATATGTTCAGTAGTTAAAATTGTGAATATCAGTGCTCAAAGACATGAAAGATTTTGTAAATATAGATATACAAAAATTGCTGAACAGTATTAACTAGGACAATAAAACTGTGGACTGAATATTTTCTTATGAAAAGATGATTGTTTTATTGTTTAAAACAGGCTAGGTGATGGGAAATATAATAAATGATTAAATCTTTCTTTTCCAAATTCATTATTGCCAAACATTTTGTGAGATCAGATTCTAATGTACATCTTTACTTTCTACATTGTATTTTCTGGGCTAAGTTGAAGCCAATACTACTCACCTTCTTAATATCTACGGAAAACCTCGCATAAGCATTTTGGTTGTCATTGAAAATGAGATTGAGGAGACAGCTCAAAATAAAAGACTTGTCTTTTCACCTAATTTATGCCTATCACCTCCCCACCCCAAATACACATTAAAACTGGTTAATTCAACCCCAGTTCCACTGGATAGTTGCTTCTATCTAGTGGTGATGAAATACTGCTTCAAAACTCTTTCCTGTCCTTATGATGTCTACTTCTAACCCTCCCAGATGCAATGAGATCTCAATATTTTAAGAGATTTGAGAATATTTTGATCAGGGATAGGGTATCATGGCTATATCTTTTTAATCAGCACAAATACAGACCTGATCTCTGAGAACATTAGTACTGCCAAAACCACTCTATGATGAAAAAGTACATTTGGAAAAAGAAGGAATTCATTCGCTAAAATAAAAATTAAAGACACATGCTTTGAAAATATACCAATTTAAAACTACATTGTTCTCTGAAGTCTCTGGTAAATGAAGTGATCTATTTAAATTTTTTACAAATCTCAGTGATCCTTCTGAAAATTCAGTTTCACTTAAATAGGATACAAAAAAGAGATAATGGTTTCAGTACTGGATCTACTCTTGTAACTAAACTGTAGGTGACTTCCCATTATTATTAGTGTACGTTTTGTCTCCTTTTAAAAAATGTTTCCTTTGAAATACAGCAGTGTCACAGAGTAATGGCTTCGCGAGGAGCAAAAAATGACATAGGCACAGTTTTACACATACAATTAGAAATGTCAATTAAAACATTAATTTAAAAGTATGCCTTGATCGCTTTATCGAGCACACTGCATTCTTTTCGAGAAATGGCAAGTGCA